TCTGGGGCCGGGGGAAGCAACCAGCCGATTTCTTGGGCTACAGAAAGATTGGGGGGCGGGGGGGAGATGGGATTTCAGCAGCTTTGTGGACAGAGGAGACAACCCGGCCTCCCTCCCTGGACCCCCGAGAAACAGCCAAGGGAGAAACAGAGGGAGAGGCACAAACGCGGGCCTCCTTCCACCCCAACAGGCCGGTGTTGGTGACTGGGAGGGCACCTGAGCGCTCCCCACTATGGCCCACAAAGCCCCTCCTCAGCAGTGGAGGGGGAGGTCCAGACCCCTCCAAGATTCGGGGCAGCAGCCTTTGGCTTCAAGGGCCTGTAAGGGTTTGTCACTCCAGCGTCACAAGGCTCAGGGCCCCAGACTGCCCAAGCGGAAGGGGCAGAGCGGGGCCCAGACCTTCTCGAGAGCTAAGCTTTCCACGGAGCTGCTCACCTCGGGAGTCCCTGGCCCCACCTGGGGCTCTTCCGAAAGGCGCTTCCGCTGCTGCCGCGTGGCAACCCCTCCCGCAGCCCAGATGGCGCTCAGTGTGCTACGGCGGGTACTGGGGCCCTCGGCAACCTGAGAGGGCAGCATGCTGGCCCGCCGGAGGGTCTCCTTGGGGTCCCCCGTCATCATCTCTTCGTCTGTGATGACTGTCAGCAGCTGAGAGGGCTTGGGGGCGGGAGAGAGAACAGCCTGTCAGGCAGGCAGCCACGCAAGAGCAGCCGCCCAGCCCCGAAGGAAGGCTGTTCAGGCAGAGCTGCGCAACTCTGGCCACTATTGTCCACGTGTGGCCTGCCCCTCCCCCCCGCTGGGCAGGGAGCACAACCCGTTTGTATGCAGGAGCCAAACGGGGACTCCAGGCCTGGCCGTGTTTAGGCTGAGTGGGAAGCCAGCAATATAGGGAACCGCCGAGCACCAAAGGAGAGACAGATGCTCAGCCTGCATTCATGGCATGGTCTGGCCAACCCTTCCAACTGCCTGGAATCCCTCTTGTGAACTCTGCAGACAAATTAGAGTCCAATTCTCAAGCCATCAACTTCCTCAAAGATAAGACCACGCTTGGCTTGTGAACAGAGCGTGGAGGGACACAAATGAAGAGACGGGCAGGCCAAGAGAAAAACAACTTTGCTATAAAATTAAACTTAATGGGGACAGAATTCAAAGCGGGATGATCTCTCAGATTAAACTAGAAATCCGAGAGCTGCCTTTGGAGGGGCTGGGGGACCACATCCCAGGCTTTGGGGAGATGCCCCTCTGCCCAAGCACTCCCCGGTTCTGTGGTTTTTAACTCTCGGAAGCACCAGCTCCCTCACTGCGGAAAGCAAGGCGGGACGGGGAAAAGCACGAACAGCCTGAGCCTTTGGCTCAACAAGGCAAATCCCGCTCTATGTCAGCAGCCTAAGAGCCAGCTCGGCCGCCATTTCCGGCTGGGACTGGCCGAGGGCTTTTACCGTGACTGCTTGTTTAATTACGGGGCTATTCGGTATTTTTCACAAGCTGAGCACTACCGTCACAGGGCGCAGGCTGGGCCAAAGTCTCTGGCACAACCTATTTCTTCGTTGCCCCCAGACCCGCTTTCCTCGGGGAGCGCAAGGGGGCCTAGCAGGGGGATCGATCCACCGAGGGGCCCAGCCCCAGCGGAAGGGAACTGAACTCCTGGTTCTTATCGGCCGGGACAGGGCGGGTGGCTGCTCACCCGGGACTCCAGCGGGTAGCAGGTCTTCAGGTGAGGCGGACACACCCGGTTGCGCTGCTGCAGCTCAGCAATGCGGTTCCAGCCCTCCAGCGGCTCAGGCTCGTCATCGCAGGAGCCTGCGTAGAAGCTGCTGCGGCCTGCGGAGGGGACGGCAGGCGCGGCTTGGATCCACAGCTTTTCCCAAGTCGCTCCCAAACCCCACAAGACTGAAAGACCCTGGTCGGAGCGGCGCTGGGGAGAGGGAGCCCCTGATGCACCCCAGCCAGAGAGTGGCTCGCCCAGGCAGCTTTCTGCAACTGTGTGCATGCGTGCGCGTGTGTGTGCCTCCACCCGAAGCAGAGCACAAAGGCCCTGGGTTGGCCGTGGGTTAGAGGAAGGGCAGAAGAGCTGCATTCGTGCAGAGCAGAGCCCAGTCCGGCAGCTGTTCTGGATCGGGGAGGCCGAGGCCGGAGAACCCAGCACCCTGCAGAGGTCAGGGTCCCTCCCACCCCCACTGTGGCAGGTTCCAAATTCTGTGACCCCCGCCCTCACCGGTGTTTGCGCCCCCTGCTTGGGAGCGCCTCAGAGAACTGCGGGTCGCAGGCCGGTAGCCCGGCAGGCTCTTCAGCGCAGCGTTGCCGGCCATGCCATCGGGGGAAGAGGCGTCCAGCCTGCTGAGGGACTCCTGAGAGGGGAGGCTGGCCAGCGAGCGGGTGGAGGCGGTGGCGGCTGCTGAACGCAGCCGGGTCTTGACCGACTCCTGGCTCAAGCCGCTGTCCCCTGACCCCGAGGACCGCACGCTGACGAAGGACTCGTTCGCGCTGTCTGGGGCCTCCAGCTTGGGGTGTTTCTGTGAAGCAACACAAGCGGGGTGATGTCAGCTTCACACCCAACCTGGCAAGAAATATGGGCTCCGCAGGCGCAGGAACTGCTCAGCACAGGAGAGTTTTACTGCCGCCACGTGGGGCTGGAAGAGGTGCCCCCTGCGCCACTCAGCAATCAGCCTCAGCGGCAGTCTCCTGCCTGCGCATGGCTTCTGCTCCGCATGTACTGGGTGGCAGCTTCGGCCAGAAGAGGGGAGTCGAAGGAGCAGCAGCTGGGCTGGACTTTGCCAATCCTGGCCAGGCTGACCGCCTCTCTGGGGATGACAAGACAGGTCCACAGATACACAGGACCCTCAAGCTGAAAGGAAACTCCCCGCCGGGAGAAGATGTGGAGACGGGCACCTTCGCTGCGTGCCTGGCTGTTCGATGCAGGCATCCTCAGAAGGGACTGGAGGGCCTCGCTCCCGGTTCCCTTCAGGGCCCACCTGCTCTGGCAGGAGCAGCCCCGGCCCCACTTACTTTGATCATGGTGATGTTGATCAGCTGCGTGGTGCGCTGACGGCCGGAGAGAGCTTTCTGTCCCGAATCCAGGGCAGCATCGCCGATGGAGCCAATGCTGTTCTCCAGCTTGGACCGTGCCCGGGTGGGGATTGGCGTGAAATACAGGCTCTCCAAGGACTCTATCTTGCGGGGCAGCTGCTGTGACGCCTTGGATGACTCTGCTGCCCCGGATTCAGACAGAGACCGGCGGGTCTTCCTGCTGGGGAGACACGTAAAAGCAGCCCTTGGTTGGAATGTGGGCATAGGGCTGCCTTGAAACAGAGACCGACGCTAGGCAGAAGCTTCCACACCCTCATGGGCAGCTCCATCCTGAGGACCTTTCACCGCCAGCCCCTCCCAACCGTCATCTCAGAAAAGGCAACCCCCATTCAGTCCAAAGACCCCAAAAGGGCCAGCCTCTGCTCTGCGGCAACCCAATGACACCGCTCTGGGAGCAAAGACATGGCACAAGGAAACCAGGCAGGAGTTGTGGCACAGAAGCACCACTCCAAGGCGGCCAACAGGAGCCAGCTGACTATGCAACTATGCCTCTGAAGGCCAGTACCTGGTGGAGTTAAGGGGCTGCCCTTCATCGCTGGCGCTCAAGTCCAGGCTGTCCGTGCTGATGTCAGCTGAGCTCTGCCTGAAGGTCTCGTGGCCCTTGAAGGTCTCCAGGGCTGCTTGGGCCTTGCCCTGCTCTCGAAGCTGCCGATCTGCAAAGTCCAGCTGCGTTGGGGTTTGCACATAATTAGAAACAGAAGCCATGAGGCAGGCCAGAGGCAGAAGAAGGTGGAGAGACCAACATGCCAACAAAAAGTCTGTTTTGGGGGTCTTCATTAAACGCTCCTGCCTAAGTGACCACATCAGAACCGAGTCTGCCTCAGTTCATTTACAGGTAAAAATACATTTTGCCAATCTATAGGGACTAAAAGGTATAAAGTCCCCAACATCCTTTCTTTTCTTTTTTTTTAAATAGGAAAGATTTATTTTGCCAGTGCTGATCTTCCTTACAGCTGCTTGCATCCCAGAAGAACAGATTATTTCTCTCATCAATATGATTAACATTGCATTAGCGAAGAAAAAGTATTCAGGAGAGGGCTCTTGTTAGAGTAACAAGACTTTAGAAAAGTCCTTTAGAGAAAGACCCTCTGTGAAAGTTAATCTCCCCTTCTATTTTAAGGACAAAGTAGTGACCATCACGAGTGACCTCCCAAATCTGCGGGCAACACCTGATCAAGTCCAGGAGGCAAGACAGACGTGCCCAAGGAGCCCTTCCAGAAAACAAAGTCCACATACCCACACGAATGTTTTCTATAGGTTGCAGTCTGTGCTCGTTTTGCCACAGAAACTGCCACGAACAGCATGGGTAAGTGGTAACCAGCAACCCTGTCTCCCTGAAATGCAGCCCCGCCCTCTCTCCACAACACAGCAATGTGAAACTAGCACTGCAGCCCAACATTTCAAGACTGGATCGTGTACGTGATCTAAACAGAGTTTCAACAGTGACGTGCTCGCTCAGAAAAAGCAGAAAAGAGGGTTTCCAAAGTCCACTTTAGGAATCCCAAGGCATTCTTCTCCCGAGGCATCCCACCAGCGTTTCTCTTTTTCAGGCTGGCAAAGTCCGGGGGAGAAGAACGCCCTGGGCTTCTCCCCACGCCATCACTTCCTCTTCCTCTGAGAGCTCTGCAGCGGCCTTCTCTCACACTGCCGGCCTTGGCTGCGTGGCTTCCAGCGGCCTTCCTGGTCCCAGGCGGGTTTGCTGCAGGACCCCCGCTTCAGACCCTTGTGGCCTGGGCTGCTGCAGCTGTGGCCTTTGACCGAACGTGG